CAGTTTTTCATTCACTCCTTGAATAAAAGTGGACAATTTTAACCTGGTGTAAATGAAATTTTAGGGTAATATAATTTTAGTCTCTATATATGTATGTTTGTCCCCTGTGTTCGGAATGTAGCCAAGAGACTCTAAACTATTAAACACATAACACTATGGTCCTTTGAACAAAGGGGATGACAATGTAACTTAGAGTGGATGATGAACACTTCCAGTTTTAATAAGGCTTCACCCTCACCTGAGGTTCAGTTGCCTCTTCTCTTGTACTCTTATTTAGGGAGGGAAGGGAGGTTCCTCTCCTGATGTAGATATCTGAAAATAAAGTTGAAATCAAAATGACAGGTTTTCTCTGTGTTTTAGGTATTGCTTATTTTCCTTTGTAGGATAAACACATGAATGATAGAGCTGGATATAAATTTGGAAGTTTTTTTAGTTTGTTGCCTGAAGATATCCTTTCTTTAATTACTTTAATCAAATGCTTAATTAGCTCTTGGAAACACACTACTATTGGAAACAGACTCTTACATGTTAGGGAGGGGAGTTTTATATGAACCTCTTGCTTGATCCGTTTCATTAATGACATTTCATGAGGTTACTGTGTGATTCATTTGTATGATTGTATTTCTCTGTGTCATGTGATAAAGTATTTGAGGATTCTTAATTTTCTCAGAAAATTTAAGATTGCCTAAATAGAGTTATATAAACAAAATGTAAAGTTTTGGTAAATAAAAATATCTGCTGATATCAAATTTCACCGATACTAGAATTCCCAATTGTGACCATTTAAGCTTGAAGCCTTGTTTGAAAGCATGATTAAGACAATAAGACTAGTAAAGAAACAAGCAAAAAGTAATTAAAAAGCAGAAATTTAATAACCTTATGCATGTGGATTTTTAATTAGATTTCATTGATGAACTTTATCAACAAAGACCCCACTATAAAGTTAGTTTCAAAATTCTATGAAACAAATTTCAAGATTAAAAATTTTATGAAACAAAGTTTCAGGATTAAAAATGAAATCAACATCCAACATCATAAAGATGGACAATTTGAACTATGTAAGCTTTAAGAATCTGAAAGTGAAAAGAAACATGATGAGATACTGGTAATTTCAAGCTAAAAGATAAAGAGATTCAAGACCTAACTCATCCATCTTTCCTAAAAGTTAATTATTCTAGATTTGATGTAATATCATCCACTTTCCAGCAGGAGGTTGGAGAAAGGAAGTTGTGGGGGCAAGGCATCCAGTCACTCCTGTACTCCCCCTCCAACTTCCACTTTGTGGTTTCTCAAGCTGGAATTGATGGCTGTTTGCCTGTTGGATCTTTCTTTTTTTATTTTTTTCTGAGGGTGAAGTGAAAACTCCTGTTTTGTGATAAAGATATATTTAGTCGTTTAGAGAAGTATACCTCTTAGGTTCTAACTGTTAATGACTAGTTAACGACATTGCTATCTGTTTTGCTTTTGGGAGTTCTTATTGACATGCCATGTGCCCTGGCTTTCTAAATTTTGCGTCTCAATCTTTCTAATTGTGGGCCAGCATATCAAAAGCCAGTCCTTAAAGGGCCATCTAGTAGTCATGGGGACAATATTTCATGGATCCCTTAGCCATCATTGTTTTTGCTTCCTTTTGCCAAGCCATGTGATCTAATCTGATTGAGGTGGTGAAAATCTAGAAATACCTACATGCGCAGATGTAGGTGTATGAATGCACAAACCCAAACATACTCCTAAAGCTAGTGAATTGGCAAATACTTATCCTTGGTATTCCACTGAAGAAGATAAAAAAGTTTTTTTATGTCGGTTGGTTGGGGGGTGGATTTCTATGGTCAAACATGATCTTGCTCTGACGATACGTTACGATGGCTAATAACTTGATTAGTTAGAATAGAAGAATATTTTCTGTTTCTTTTGTAATCCACCTATGCTACTGTTAGTTATTTTCCTGCATTTCCTTTATTTTCTGTTCTGATTGTTATGAAGAGAGGAATATAATCTGGATTTGAAGTTTTGAGAAATCATGTTATGACGCTGTGCAGATGTTATGGTTGACATAATAAGAAAGATAGAATCATGCAGGTGCTATGGTTGACGTAATAAGAAATACTGGTCATAACTAATTTTTCTTATTGGGTTCAATTATATATAGTTTGTTGAGAGTTCCATTCAGTTGCATTAGTAGAACTGGAACGATTTCATTAGGACATGTTTTGGTTTTTTTGAGATCAACTAGGAAATCTACATTGAACTAGCTGATGAGTCTAGATTTCCTAAACTAGCACGAAATGGGTCATGGTCCATCACACTTTTCAAACTATTGACGATAGATGGTGGATTTTCCAAAAAACTAGAAGCAGAAGAAAATGTTGATTCTTTTAGTACGGTGGAGAGTGCAGTTAATATAGGAAGTTCTGACTTTTACCTTTCCCCTGTACATCAATGTTTTGCTTCTCTGGTTGTGTATATTGTGTTCTGAGTATTATTAGTGCAGGCTAGGCCCAATCCTAATCATACTGGAGCAAAGCGGAAAGCTGAGACACTGCTCGCTGTTGGTGCTGACGACCTCCCTTTGCTTGTACCGAAGAAGAATCCCAAGAAAGAATGGAGTTGTGCCCTCTGTCAGGTTAGTGTCACAAGCGAGCAAACCTTGAATGAGCACCTCCGAGGTAAGAAACACAAAGCCAAGGAAGCAGGATTGCGAGCTTTGAAGGTGGAGAACTCGAATGGTGAGTCGTCGCCAAAGAGAACTCAGGTTTCTGAGTATACAGACTCAACAGGCAACGCTGAAACAAAGTTGAAGACAAAAATAGAAGAGATATGGCTTCAAATTGATAAAACTGGGAAAGGCTCCAAACAAAAGGAAGGAGAAGATTCAAAGAACAAGAATGATGAGCTGCCATCAGAGAAACAAGCAAGGAATGAGAAGAAAGGCAAGGCAGCAGCAGAAAGAGCAGGGGGAAAAACACCAAAATCTCGAAAGAAGTTTAAGTATTGGTGCGACTTGTGTTTTGTTGGAGCATACTCTGAAGTGGTGATGGAGGATCATAAAATGGGGAAAAAGCATGCAGCTTTGCTTCGGGAGCTTAGCTTAAACAGCGTAGCTATCAAGACTAACACTGCCATCGACAGCACATCCTAAGTATCAGCCAGGCAAAGAAGAAAATCAGAAAACAACAGATATTGTGGTTGGATGTGGATCAATCGATATCCGCAGGTAAATTTTAACTATACAGTCTCACTAGAGGTACCGAGCAACAACTCCAGGCCTAGATTGACGTTTCTTCTGTTAGAGATTTAATCAGACATAAGATTTTAATTGGAAAATTTAACATATGATGAGGTTCTCCTCCTAGTTGAATTAGAATAAAAAATGATGAAAATGGCTATACCATCATCTCTCTTGTAGGTAATAAGAATAACAGTTTGTCTCGTATATACTGATTTACATGCCTTGTATAAATGTCTTTGAGTACCATGCCTGTTAAATATAGACTTCTCCACTATATGTAAGATTTATTAGGCATAAGTAGTCTTTCTATGAGTGTGAATAGAACATACTTGCTAACTGTAATTAATTTTTAATTGTTTTAGAAATTATTAATTTTAATACTAAAATTTACTGGTAAAAAAATTAGCACTCACTATTAAAAAATATTAAAATTAGCCAGTTAAAAGTTAGTTACTGCTCATACTTAATATTTCAAGCTCAAAACATGTAACTTTTGCCTCTTTGTTAGTCTTACCCATTACGAGAACGATTTTAATATTTGATGTTTTCGTGCAAGTTGCCATTTCATCATCAAAGTGGATATTCTCTCAATTCTCAAGTTAACTGAAAGAGCTCATCATGCGTGATGTTCCCATCTCGATGGCTTATATGATGCTTTGGCCAAGGGTGGTTCACCTGGTAATGTCTCTTTCAACTTTGGTTTCTGGTATATGATGAAAGTTTAGATATAATAATGGCAATGAAAACTTGACTTCTTATGAAAATTTTAACTTTTTGTAAGTTTTTTTTTTTTTTTTTTTCACAATTGAGTATATAAGTCCTTTATGATGTTGGGAGGTGACTTTTAATATTTTAGTAAATTCATATATTATCAATTACTGTACACAAGTTTTATTAACTTACAATAAAACATAGAATATTAGACACAGTGATCTTTAGACGCTATAGTAAAAACCTGATTACCCATGAAGCTTTATCAGGCTTCTAACCTTTTTCTCTGCACTGCACTGAAATCGACATCCCCCAACAATCCCACACGTAAAAAAGAGGAAAGAGTACAAAAAGAGAACATTATCTTCTTGTTAGGGTAGATGCCATTTCTCTATTTTACCTACTGCAGTTTCTTCCTTTGCCTCAGAGAATAACAAAAGGGTTTTTGCTGAATAAGTCCATACATTCTCATTTCATAAATTATTTTTTACATTAAAAAATTCAGCTTTGATTTTTAAGATATGAATTCAATTTTGATCTTATCTATTCTTTTCATAAAATAGATTTTTTTAGTTAATTATCCAACTGTGATCTTAAAATAGGAAATTCCACTTTTATTGGGAAAGGAAATTTTGAACAAAGTTATTAAACCTCAGCTTAGATTGATTAGATAATCTATTTGATTTTGCAAAAGAGAAAAAAAAAAAGTTTATCTTTTCATTTTCAATTGCACCACAAAAATGTCCAGTTCCTTCTACGCTCTGCCGGCCAGGGTATATAAAAATGAAGAAACTTTACATGTAGCAACCAAAACAAAAAACAAGCTGTTTGGAATAATAAATTCCTTTTTGAAACAAAAAAAATTATTTGAAAACTACACTTATTTTAACTAAATACAAGTTTTTTATAAGATTATAAAAAAAAAACCTCAAAATAATTTTAATTAAAATAAAGCATTTAAAATTAACACTCTCTTTGAATAGTAATAAATGATAAAATTTTAATGTATGGTATTTTACGGGTGTAAAAAAATCATGTTTGTTTTAATTTTCAATAGTAATATGTGAATGACATGTTATTTTTTTTTAATACTCTTATATAATATACTTAATTCTATTTTTATTATCATAATTTATTAGTTATTTTATTAAATATAAAAATTTAATTTATAATAATTATTTATTTAAATAAAAATATAATTATATTGATAAATAATTTAAAATTTTTATTATTATTTATTATATTTTTTTTATATAACACTTACTATTACATAAATAAAGATAAATTAATAATTTAACTGAAAATATAATTATATTATCTTAAATAAATAATTTAACTGAATATAATTATATTATCTTATCATCCAAACAAAAATATATCATTAACATATATTAATATACAATTATCCAAACATAAAAAATTTTTATCATTTTCATCCTATATCATTGTTATCTAATTACTGTCATTATTATACATTAATTAACCATCACCAAAACTTATTTAAACAAAGTATAAAACTTCATTTATAACTATTTGTTTATTATTCTGTAAAGAATTTATGTTTTCTTGTGATTAGAATCAATGTAGGATTTTCAAATAATTTTCACCAATAAAATTCATTTGACTTATGTTTAAAAGAATGCAAAAGGAACTGCATCTGGAAATTGGAATAAATACTGTATCAATCTAACAATAGCTTGTGGAATTTCAAATTTCTTCCTAACCTAATCCAGCTAATTAGCAAGAAAGACACTTACCATAAGTAAACAACCTTACTTTCTAAAGATTAGCAATACATGAGTCTTACCCTCCACCCCATCACCTATAAACTCTAAATATATCCCTCTTTATCTTTACAAAAAAAGAAAAATCAAGCAAAGTAAAGAATGAGACCTACATATAACAAGGCAAGGCAAGGCAAGGCAAGGGCTTTAACCCCCACCAGAACTATATAGCATTATGATCTTTTCACTTCCAAGTTTGAAGAAAAACTCAGACTCTCAATGCCACTTGATCTTGCCATGAAATCTTCCTCTTCCCTGCCCGGTTTGACCCATTTCCAATGTTCCTACAAACTGATAACTTCATGTCACTTAGCAGCTCCTCGTTTCCGCTTCTGATTGAATTGTTCTTCAAGTCCTCCACCAACATTGTCTCTCCACAAGCCGCTAATTCCTCCTCCTCCCTCTGCAACAAAGTGAAACATCAACTCATGGAAACTACACAGCAAACAAAACCAAGCTCACAGCTTATAGAGTTTACTGATTGAGTACCGAAATCTGGTTTAAGTCAAAAACTGGGGTCATGCTTCGCATTGTGGTTTCCTTTCCGTTGTTATAAACCCTTTCTGCTAAGTTTAAGTCAGGAATCATGAAGGAATTCCGCAAGGCCTCATTCCCGTGGCTGTAAATCCTATGCTTTTGGTTTAAATCAAAAATTGGAGCAGAAGTTCGCACATGCGTAGCATCCTTTCCGACGTGAACTTTTCCCTTTTGGTTCAAGTCAAAACGCGGAACAGGAGGCGGCAAACCAGCTTCCTTTCCATTGTACTTCATTTCCTTAATAATTTGTTTACTTCGTAAATCTGAATTCTGCGGTTGCATGAAAGTTCTTGCTTTTGGAGTCTTTGAAGACTTATTCTGTATGAGATATTTGTATCTTCTTCTCAGAAACCTGCAAGCAATAAGCATAGAGGAAGTTAATTCTAGTATACATTAGATTGTAGGAACTTTGTGAACCAACTATTGATACGAGGCCACAAAACTGTACCTGACTTCAGCAATCAGAGTCATTTTTTTCTGTTTCATGATCAGCAGCTTCTTTTTCATGGCCTCAGTTTCCTGGAAAACAAATATAAAGAAAATAAATTCATTTGTTTCTGAGCAAGTGAAAATCAAGCCATATATGAAAAGCATTCAGACATTAACCCCACTCCTTTCCCCCTCCCCCCTCCCCCAAAGCGAAAAAAAAAAAAAGATAAGAAAATGAAATACAGAGATTTCTTAGAGACATAGATTAAAGCTGAACGTCCGTATAACCAAAAAGTGAACTCCTTTTTTACCTCTTTATCGCATAGAAGATAGAAGAAACCATACAAATCCAATTACAGATCACTAGGACGATGGAAGTAGATTTGGAAAATACAACCCGTGGATCCTAACACAAAAGGAAAGGCCATCAAACCACCAAAAAGATTACTAAAGGATGAATATTGATTCCGTTTTCTTGTTTGTATTATGAGTTAAACAAAAACTTCTGCTGACATGAGCTGAATACAGCTGCATATTTGTACATATATAACTGAGAATCATTTGATTAAAAACATAAGAATCAAAATTTCACTTCTTCTTTCCTATTTTTTCCTCAAGAAAAAAGAAGATAAAAAATACAGAGAAAAAACAAAATAATAAGATCCATAGCGCCCCACATAAGATCCAGAACCCTTTTATCCTAGCAGATTAAACACAGATCAAGATAAACCAGATAATATCAAGCCAAACAACCGCCAAAGAAGATAAAACAAAACACCAGATCTGGCAACAACCCACGATAGAGAATTAAAAGATCATGAAAACCGAGAAAGAAAAACTACCTTCTGCAACTCTTTATAGTCTTGCGCAAGACTCTGATGCTTGTTGAACCGGGTCCTCGGATCCACATAAACATCGGCGAAGAGAGAAGACTCAATCGGAGCAACGGCACCTTTCATCTTCATTGGATCACAGAGAGAAAGAGGAAGAACAACAATCCAAAAACCAAAAACAAACAATTACAGAGAAATAAGGGAGGAAAGAGAAAGAAAACCCTCGATGAGAAAGAGGAAAGAAGAAATATGGGCAAGCAAGAATAAAAGAAATAAAAGAAGAGGTTAGAGAGAGATAGAGGCAAGAAAGAGGGAGAGAGAGATAGAGATAGAGGAGGGTGGGAAGGTTCTCGCTTTCCTGTTTTCTCTGTGCAACTCTGACCAAGACCAAGAAACCCCAAAGAAGCCCACATAATTCGGTGAAAAAAATGTTTCTTTTGATAGTTGAGACAGTGATGAAGATGGGATTTTTTGGGGGGTTGCAGAAGGGCATTTCTGGCAAGAGAGTTTTTAATTTCGTGCTGTTGAGAAAGAGAAAAGAGAAATAGAAAGAAAGAAGTTTTTTCGTGAGGTGGGTTTGGTTGGAGGACATTTGAAGACATCTATCTCCTCTCTCTCTATCTTTCCAATTCTTTCTTTTTTGTTTTTCTTCTACATAAATTTTGGTCCAGCTGGGCCATTGAAGAAAGAGAGAGAGAGAGAGAGAGAGAGAGAGAGAGAGAGAGTTGGGTGTAGTGTGGACTCTTCTTTGTTTTTGATGGGAGTCTGCGTGGAGTTGTTTCCATCTTTCTTCTTTCCTTGTTTTTGGCATGATTTTTTTCCTTTGCCTGTTTCTAGAGAGAGAAAGATAAGAGTTTTTTTCTAGAGAGAGAAAGGGATGGTTTTTTGATGAGGTATGAGAGAAAAAGGTTTGGGCTGAGGGGAATAAAAAAGCAAAGCAGCAGATAGAAAGGGGAAAAAAAAAATTGGGATGATGCTGTTTTTTCTGATGTGTAGCTGCTGTTGTTGTTGGTGGTGATGGTGCTGGCGTTTGTTGCAGTTGATGTTGGTACTGCCTTATTTTTAGGCTTTGGATTGTGGTGAGAAGATGGACAGAGAGAGTGATATATATAATATTTATATATATGCTTTTTAATTTTTAATTTATTACTATACTCATCATAGAAATCTATTACTTGTGAATTTCCAAAAATATCCATTTCTACTTTCTTCTCAGTGATGCTTTCCTTTCTCTGTTTTTTACATACACCAAATTGCTTTTCCAATTCTACTCGTGCAAAGTAAGAGTGAAGTCCAAATCCAATCTGGGTTTGAAATGACAATCCATTTATACGGGGGGGAAGAATCACATGAGAAATTTCTGGCTTCCCTTCACATCTGGTAATATATACCCCATGAAGGGTAGAATGGTAATTCTGCATACTTCCCTTATCCTTTCATGGAATTTAAAGATCCCATCCACATCCAGTCCACCTACCTTCTGGATTCCGGGCACCACCCCCACCTTCCTAGCCACTTGGCGGAAAACCAAAACTTCAATTTAATCGTCCTGTAGAAATAATAATAATAATAAAAAACTACCCGATTCCCCAGTTTCTGCAAATAACCATTTGAGTAACATGAAATACCCATTTTCAAAAAGAGAAAAAAGGGTATGTTCGTAAATTCACTAACCGTTAATGAAGTGTTGTTAATATAGTGCTGGAAACTGTTCTAAACCCACCCACCTTGACAAGAAAACTCTTTTTTATGAAAAAACAAAAACAAAAACAAAATTGGCGTACCAGTTAGGCCCTCTCCACAGATGGATGAAGCTGAGGAGAAGACAATGTCCATCGTCTGAAAATTTTGTCGGTGGCCATGTCTTTTGCTAATTAAACAATTAAAAAAAAAATACACTGTGCATCCAACAATACATGTTCTATTCTTCATTATATTCTTCCTCTCTCTCTCTCTCTCTCACATATAAGTATGTTTGTCTAGAGAGAGAGGGGGGGAAAAGTATTGTTTGACTGCATTTTACAGAGAGGTTTTGCTGTGATGCCCTTTTTAGGGTCTCTACCATGTCTTTAAACACAGACAGGTGCAGTGCTGTGATTCATATGCAGTGGTGATGTGAACTTGGCAATTTGAAATAAATGGCTACCTAACAAACTCTCACAAGTGGAAGTGTGGAATAAAAGATGGGTGCCCTTTGTCTCTCTGTCACTGTTATCATATATATATATATATTTATATTTCTCTTTCGAGAGGCTACACTGTTGGCAGTGAAGAAAAAAGTTGGCTTCTTGAATTTGAGGACATGATAGCCGATAATTGAGTGCAAGAGCAAAAAAGTTTCTTCTTTTCAGTTTTGTATTCCACGGGGTAAACAGAAAAGTTGGATTGTACTTTTCACTTCTTTTCCCCTCTAATCTTTCCATCGGAAAAAGCCTACATATATATATATATATATTTATATACACTATAATTACATATGCCTCTCTCGTGGTATTTATCTTCTCGTTCAGCTTCATTCTATTGACAATTCAACACGGTGGGCTTTTGTTTCTGATTTAAGTGATGCTAATTACGTAAACAATATTTCCCACCCAGGAGTTATATAAACAGTAGCTCTGGAGAAAAAATATATATATACTTTGACTGCAAAAATTCTAGAGCTTAATCTATATATATATATATATAGTATAATAAAATTATATATATAGATTACATTTGTTTTTTTTTTTCTAAAGTTCGATGAAGTAATTAACTGTTATCATAGAGGAGCCACGATATTAATGCAAGTGTAAAACATTTTGGGCAGCTTATACAAGCGCATACATGATTCTGAGATATATATGTTGTCGAAATTCTCACGATCGATCATCAATTATTAATATTAATCATTTCTAATAACGAAATTTTATCTAATTTTAATTTAAAATAAATATTTAAGTTTCAAATTTTATATAGTACATAATTAATATTTATTATATTAAAAACATATTAATTACAATTATAAATTAATTAGAAGTCTCTTCCTTTAGCACCCAAGAGAAGCGACCAATCAATCCTTTCAATGTAAAGGTTTGTGGTCATACGATGTATAAATATAATCAAGAAGGAGCATGAATAAACAAAGCTTTTATTTAACCATTTCAAACAATCATCTCGAAAAGCTAGTTTACTCTACCAAGTTACGTTGACTTACACACTTGGCCTTTAAATTTATTGTCATTTTAATGTAATTTACAATGTTTCTTAGTTAGATTACATGTGAATTATAATTAAATTATAGAATATTTATAATTTTATTCTAAACATAACCTTAACAATATTTAACTAATCAAAATTATTACCAATTAATTACGTAATAATATATATATATAATTTGTATATATATATATATATATTTTGGAAATACACTGAGGACATTTAAAGCTTGTAGTAACCAAAAGGCTATTGTATTATCCATCAAGACCCATACGGTAAAACACTTTAGCCCAAACCCATGTGAAAATGCTGAGGAAGTCGGCATTGTCGTGCCACGTGTATTCATATGATTGGTTGAAAGAAAAAGCCACAATATACGAACAGCTTCAAATAAAAATCCCTCTTTATCTTCTGTCTGAAAGAGGAAAAAAAAAAAAAAGTGAAGAAAATTATCTCGCTTAAAAATCAGTGGAGGGCAATCCCAAATTTGTCTTTCGAGGTTGAAGAAGAGTGGGAGGCGATCCATGGCATCGACGAGTGCGGTCACTGCTAAGATTTCACACGACTGGAAGCAGCTTGCCCTCGGTATTTCTCTATTTTTGTATGTTAATGTGGCTCTATGTAAATAAATGGGGTCGATTTTGATGTAAATGGCTGTTTTCTCTGTTTGGAACTGAGAAGAGTGAAAATCTGGAAGGAGAAATGGGGAGGTGAATTTAGCTGGAGTAAGAATTTTTAGGGTTAATGGAGTTGGGGGTTTTAAGTAGGATTTTGTTATTTGGTTCTAAAGAACTCTAAAAATATGACCTTGGAGACACTTCTTCATTGATTCTCAGCTGAGCTCTTACTATTTGTTTTGTACTTGGTTGCTCGACGTTTTAATAACGGAGTGATCCTTAAGTGCTGAAGGAAAGATAGTTATGTTGCAGTATAGAAATTGTAGTTTGATTGTGTTTAGACATTGGCATCAGTTGGTGACAGGTGTAGGGGTACTTTCTATGTGGATTGGCAGTGTAAAAAGAAGGAAACTGAATTATTTCTGATGCTTTGGTAAGAAGAGACTAGTTTTCTAGTCTGCAATTACTTTGCTTTGTATTCTTGATACTTACAAGTCGTGGAATTTTTTACCTTTGCTTGTTATAAATTGAGAAAGAATCTAAAAGTTATGTTCTAGATTTCATCCACGAACAATGTGTACTAAACTAGTCTAGCATCCACTTAGTATTCCAGGACCCGATGTTTGAAATTGCCTGATTTACTTTTTTCTTTTCTGTTAGTTTTCATGTGGAACAAGTTGTTGCTTCTTTTCTCAGGGCTAATGGAGTTTGGTTTTTTTTTTTCCTCTAAGTTAGGTTTTCTATTTGTTAAACAGTTCTAAAAATGTTAGCCTTGTAGTAGTTCTCCTTTTCTCTTCTCAATAAGTCTCTGAGCAACCAACCAGAGTGTTACTTTTTTAGCACTTAATTACTTGCCCTTTTAAAAATAATGTTCCTGTCTCGAAATTGTTGTTTGATTGCGTTTGGGGTTGATGATTGGCACGGTTATTTTAAATGGGATGTGAATGGCAAAGAAGGAACTTGAAGGGTCTATGATATTTTAATGAGAAGAAAATTCTTTGGTTTCTGTTTACAATTATTTTACTAGATTTTGCACTCATGAAGGTTTTGGTTGTTAAATTGTTTCTTGGTTTTAAATTCAGAAAGAATTTGATTAATGTTTCCTAGATTTAATTGGGTATATGCAAAAGATGGGAGCTAGACTAGCGCCCAATTCATATTTTTTTCTTACTTTTACCAGGACTTCTATTCAGCTTTTATAGTGCAGTCGGCTGCCTCATTTATGTTTCTTTTATTTTTGGGTGGTTGGGGGTCAGGGGTGATTTTTTGATGTTACAAGAGTTATTGCTTCTTTTTTGTTTATTTATTTCTTATTTTTTTATGTTTTCAGGCAAGCCAAATTTAAATATGAATCTTGCTGGTAAACAGAACTTGTCTTGGCCGAGTCAACGGCAAAATTCTGGAAACAATAATAGATCTCTCCGTGTGTATGGATTATTTGGAGGAAAGAAGGATAACGAGAAGAGTGATGACACACCTTCGAAGGTAAACAACATACTCTTCGATTAAGTACCCATCTATCTAGATGGTGAAGATGTGCAATTCTCATAAGAAATTTAGCTGTCTTTCTGATAAACTCATGATACGATAAACGTTGTCTTTCTTTTACATGCATATATGATTATTCTTGGTTTTATTTTATTTTATAATGCTATTCTTCACCTTATTTATGTTTCTCCCTGGATGTTGAGTCAAGCTAGCCTGGTCTGATTTGAAACTTAAGTTTCTTTTCCTGTAATTGATTTAGGCAGGAATCCTTGGCAACATGCAAAACTTGTATGAAACTGTGAAGAAGGCACAAATGGTTGTCCAAGTCGAGGCAGTACGGGTGCAGAAAGAGCTTGCTGCGTATGGCCCATATATTTAATTCCTTATTATCTGAACTTGTTTTTGTGTGATTTAATGATGTTGTTATTCACTTTCTTCTGTATTTCAGAGCAGAATTTGATGGTTATTGTGAAGGTGAGCTTGTAAAGGTATCTTTCTCCTCATCTCATGCCCTCTTTCCCATTTATTCCCTTTTGAAATGTAGACATTCCCCTACTAGGATGATCAAATTGTTTTAATATTTTTTTAATGCCTAGATGCTCCTCAGTTTGCTAGTTGAAAACATTGAAATTATCTTATTATGAACTGGCTTTACAAAATATAATTTTTGTAGAAGCTTTTGTCTTCTTTGGCATGTGTAGGATGATAATGGGGGGTATGGGGCGGGTGACCCTCTCCTTATACCTGCTTGGTTACTCCACTCACCTCCATAATTGCCCCATATCCTGGCAGCCATTGAATGATAATCCAACCTTTGCCCTGCGGGAAAGTTCTTCAGTCCGCTACCTACCCTGTGATACAAGAATTTTAATTAATATATAAAATCTCAAATTGCTTTTAAGCTCAAGCGAAACTTTATCATACAATTTAACTTTAAAATAAAATATGGAAATAACATAGAATTTGAAATGCATATGTTATATAGATATGAAAAATATTTGCAAGTGTTTTTTTTTTTTTAATCAGACGGACAGGAATGGAGTGTGTACAAGTTTTGGTCCATATGTGCCATAGTCACTATGGACATGTCCCCCTACTTGTTCTGTTTCTCAACCTATGTGCAATGGAATTGTTTCTTGGATAGCTTGCACAGATTGGCTTCTACATGCATCTGATAGTAGGAATGGAGAGTTTTTTATTGTGCTTTGCTCGCAGTTCACCCGGACACAGGGTTTTCGTAGGACTTGACACCTAAGCCCTAAAATTTATTATGAGGACAAAGAGCATCTACTTTCTAACCCAAGATCTTTTCTATGTGGGATGAGGGGGCCAAAGGCTTGGCCTTTTATTTATTAAATCGTAACGGCAAAGCAGTAAATATAGCTCAATCCTAGTATCTTATTGTGGGAATACGGAGCATTCATACATATTACTTTACCACTCTATGTTAGAGTTGATACCAAAGAAAAGTAATTTTGGAAAAAGCTTGTGTCTGTCTGGCATTTCAGTCACATTTTCTACAGCATCATCCAATTTGTACTGATGATCATATACATGATGTAGAATAAATGGTTTGCCAAACTTCATATAAAGAAATCTCTTTGTGGGATTTATAATCCAATAAAAACGAAAATTTCTCCTATTTCTGGTTATAGAAAAACTATTATTGTTTACAGAGAAATAAAACAAAAATAAGGTTCTCTATTTATTGAATTTCCTTATAAGTTTCAAAACTATATATTTCAGGTAACCTTGTCAGGGAACCAGCAACCTGTCCGGACAGATATCACTGAGGCAGCAATGGAATTAGGCGCCGAAGTGAGTGCATATGCCTGATCCTTTTCCTATTTTCTTTAAACTGGACAGTTGAATTGATTCTTTGATGTTCTGCATACAGTTTCTTGCTTACACAGATGCAATTGCGAGATTTTTCTATCTTTTTTAGAATCTTAGTAGCACTAATAAATGCTGTTACATGAAGTCTTCCCTCTGTTGTGAAAAATTGAGGCTTTTATGCTGTAGAGTGTAGAGTTTTCTTTTTTGCATTTTTCTTTGACTCCAAGGTTGGGTAGTATAATCAATGCAATCCAAGGGCATAATACAAATTTTCTTATTTAAGCAGAATTGTATCCTCGAAGTACCTAATGTTACTGTAACTGGTAAAAATATGTCCTAGGAACAGGTGCATTTGCCTCAAATTTGAACGTTCAGTTTGTTGTTCTGCAATAATGATGTTCAAATTTTGTACTCCGAATTTGTATAATTGTTTCCCTAATGTTCCTCCATCATTCTGCTTATTTGATGACCCTGCACAGGGGTGTATTTTAGCTAAAAGGAAATGTAGAGGATAATATGCATGATCCAAACAAGAAATTTGCATCTTGCATTAACAATTTGTGTTTTTATTCATGGAGGCCAATGTATGTCTTCCCTGAGGATTTATCCCTTCTTGAGCATGTAAATTGCAACTAATGTCTCAACCATAGGTTTCAGAATTCTATGTTGACTGAAAAGAGACTCGTAAGTTCTGTTTAAAAAACTAATTCCTTTTATATTCCTAAACCAAATGCGAGCTAGTATGGTGCACAATTTTGTCTAAACTTTTGTTTATATGCAGAAACTTTCCCTTTTAGTCACCGAAGCATACAAGGATGCGCACCAGAAGAGTGTCCAGGTAAGAATCTCCAAAGTCTTTTCTCCTCAAAGAAAGAAATGAAGCCATGTTTCATCTTTATTAAGACGTCTTGCTTTTCCAGGCCATGAAGGAAAGGATGAGCGATCTTGCTCAGAGCTTGGGCATGCCACAAGGCCTTAGTGAGGGATTAAAATAAGGAAAATTTTGTTTTCCATGCATTGGTAGATGAGTTTCAATTTTGTATATTAAGCAGGCCAAATGCCAATTTGTACTACATATTGATTTTACTTTACTTGTTTTACTATTAATTTGAATTACAAGTTCAAAAAGGTATTCAGAACCTGTTTTTCTTATCTCAAAATAGAAGTCATGAGTGTTTTAATTGATTGACTACCCGTTAATTGCTACAATTCTCCCAGAATTTGATGGCAAAGTGAGGGAAAGAAGGTGCATGTCACAGACTTGTTTATTTGTTGGTGGAATAGAGCATCTATCAATAGTTTTTCAACCGAGTGTCAGTCCTTTGTGCGCCACATGCAGGAATTGGTGAACTCCTAGATATTCGAGTTTCAAATTTTTAGTAACTTTTTTATCATTGTTGATAGATTTGATATCATAAACTATCTGCAGGTGCTGATGTTAAGGTATTTGAAATTGGGTGCTATGATCCAATAGCATTCAATTATAGAGCTGTGGAAATTGAACCTAGTACGCATGCGGAGAGAACTCTTGTACGATCCTAGACAAGAAGCTTTCTGTCTCAATGATGGAAGATGAAAAGAACAAGTTCCCCTTGTTGAATAAGATTTTTAATGCCATGTTGCATTGATTAGAGAGAGAGCTGGAGATGTTTTTGTTCCATCTTTCCCTTTGGTGGTTTTTATAAGCATCTTTTATCCAAGAACCATACAGTCTAGTAGAACATAAGGTGTTAGTGACTTTAGATCGGTTTAAGGTCTGATTGCGCAAGTTGCATGATAGTCCTCTAGGATCCACTTGGAGGGAAAGATTGGATAAGGGTATGTATCATAAAACTTATTTTCTCCTTTACCATTCGTTTCTCCCCTTCCAAGCAGACCGTTAATCATTTAGCTTTCCCCAAAGCAAACCCAGGGAGGGAAAGAAATAGGCTCTGTCATTGGAAAAGATCTTAGATCTTTCTTGTTCGTGCATTGATATCACGAAATGGTGTAACTGCAAATCTGAATCCAGTTTTCCATCTGGAAAAATTTGATCTTCCCAGTTTTCCCTTTGAGAATCGAATGGAATATGGTCTGTTTTAACAATCAAATTCCTAGTTAGACTGAATCATGCATGCGCTATTTATCTCTATTACTTAAACCTGTTGATTGAATTGCTCTACACACTTTGACACCCCCAACAACATTCCGCGGCTCCTTTGTGTTATCTTCCTTTTAACTGTGGAGATAACCAACTGAGTCAGGATTTCGGAAGTTCTTTACCGGCTAAGAATGATCTGAAAAGAATGAAAGCTCGCTGCGGCTGGAGCAGCGGGACCTCATGGCCAGCACTCCTCACTGTTGCGAAAGTCAGACCCTCATAGACCTCTGTCCATCCTCCTACCTGGTCACAGGGGTGATCATGTTTTGTATTGGTAATCTTGAGATCCAAAAACAAGAAGATGAGCAAGTCGTCGTTGTTATTACCTGATTGCCGGAGTACCAAGGATACCACTTGGTTTTAATGGGGAGGTTGAGATGGCTGAGAGAAAACCTAGTGGCAGTCACTGGGACTACTGAATCCGTGTCACCACTACATTGTTGCAGGGAAGTAATGAGATTAGGTAGAATATCAAGAAGTGTAGTTCAAGTATTTCAATTAACTATATAAAGATATATATTCAATTATTATTTTAACCACCCTCTCTTTGAATATGTATCTCCAATCCTCGGTCTATGTCCAGTATAAAATTCAGAATTTGGTAAAATTTATTTATAAATTCATATTTATTTAGACAACCGTAAAAATGAACTCAATTTTAGGAAAAACCAAGTTGATATGTGACAGTTCTGTCTTATGTGGGATTTACATTTTCAAAGAAAATTTTTAATAAAGTTTTTTTACCTCAGATTTTTACATTAAAATTTTCAATTTGTATTGTCCTTTTAGAGAGATACAATAAGAAATCTCATTTTGAAAATTTATAATAGAAAATTTGCTTAAACATAAAAAATTACGTTTAAACTTTAAACTAAGATTGAATGTATAAGTATATAAAATATAACAAACAAACAAAAAAAAGAGTTAGAAAGGGGATTCTATGATTTTTTTCCCTCTTACCTGAAAACCCATATTCTTAAACCAGCTGCAATCAGCTCCTTGTACGTGGGCAACATAGAATCTTCAGAATCTTTCCAGTTTTTTATAAGAACATCACTGCCCAAATCAACCCAATTATTTTATCAACAAGAGTTTCCATCAAACTCAACCAAAACAAAATCTAAATACAAAAAGAGTAAGTAAAAAAATATACATATATATACTCCCATAACCTGAAGTAAAACAGTAATTATTCCAATAAATAATTACCTGCAAGCAGTCCACTTATACGGAATCCCAGTAACATTAGCATGCAAAGCCTTCTGTACGTCTGGACGATTATAATACTTCTCAGCATAATTCTCAGTGCAGGGATCATACCCAGAAACCACCCTTCTGCGCAGCAGTGTGTTTTTGAGCCTCAACACATTAGGCTTCTGAGGCACCTTACAAGCTGCCGTATAAATACTATACTGGTCTATGTCTCCAAACTCATTGTTTATTGCGTAGTTTACAGCCTCATCGCATTTATCCGACTGCCCTTCCTCTTCCGAGAAATTGCAGTATTTAAGTATGGACTTGTAAGTTCTGTCTGATATCATTGCGTGTGTCCACCAGAATGTTACAGTGCCTATGTTGTCATAGTGATTGTCTGTAACGGCATTCCCTACCTGTGTGTATATATACACACATATATAGACATATAAGTATAACTATAACTTTTTTTTTTTTTTTCATTAGAATATGTAAAATTAAGGAACTGTTTTGTTTTGATACTTACAATGAAGCCTTTGAGATTGATGATGGGACGCGAATAGGCTTTGTTGTAGTTATGGATTCTTTTTGCCAATTGGGGAACATAATGTCCTGCCGAAATAAATAATGAACCATCTAATTTTCCCATCAGCCAAAAGCATATTATACATACATATATATATATATATTAAAAAAATCAAACATATTATGTTTATTTTCTATAAAGATATGAAGATATAAACATAAATATAATTGAAATTTGAATAAAATAAAATTTTAATTTCATGATTTATTATTCAACAAATTAGACCAAAATATAATTTATAATTGTGAAATTAAAGATGTGGGTTAAGTTAGTTTAATTTTTTTACAATATATAATTATGACAAAGTTATATATATATATATATGTATCAGATAATTAAAATTTACCTGCATAACTTTCACCAGCAATATAGAAGTCTCTGTATTTATACTGAGGGAATCTTGCCATCCATCTTATCAGGAATATTAGAGCGTCCTCAGCTGTGTCGTAATCAATGGATTTAATAAATTAATGAGATTAATTTATTAATAAAATGTAATTATTGACATTAATCAAAGTACATTAATTTAATTACTACCTGTTCGATTATCCCCAGTATCTTTAAGATCAGAGCTTGTGTTTGTGTAGGAGAATCCTACCCCAGCTGGTGATTCAAGGAAGAGAAGATTCGCTTCTGTAAGAACATGGGAAAATTAACAATAATTTATTAACTTAATTTTTATCATTAAGAAAACAATTAGCAATAATTAATGAAGTAATCTAATTAATAATTAGTTAGAAGACAATAAATTTATAGCCAAGAGGTGAAGTTCTTCCTTCAAACACAAAACTGATGGAAGCTCATAATTGCAACTCCACGAAATCTATGGCCCATGTTACGAAAATGTCATTTCACGTTATTTTGATTCAACCTTCATATCATTTCAAATTCCATTTGCAAGACAGAGAAAATTGTTTGCTGTTTTTTTTTTTTTAATAAATGAAATAAAATTAATTAAGTAATTAATTAATTAGTTAATTAATTAAAATTACCTGCGTTCCATGAATACTTGTTGAGATAAAGAGACGAACCGGTTCGATTGATCCGAAACGGTCCAATTTCCTCAGATGCTCCGTATGCAACTGATGAACACCCTGGTCCTGCTCCATTTTCAAGATATTTCATCAATTTAATTTCTTGCACACCGAGATTAAACCGGATTTAGCTAATTAAACTACTAATAATTTTTAATTAAGAAACCCAAATCTAAAAAACAAAAAAGAAAAGAGGTGGGGGGGGGGGGGGGGGGGAATTCATTTTCCACTAAATTATGCTTTCTGGCTCTGCAACTAGCACTGTGCAGGTGGGGGCATGCACATGACTGTGAAACAGGACTGCAGAAGTTAGGCACCTCAAAAGCAAGATTCATCAATTGCGAGTCCTACATAAATTAATGTCATACCTCTTTTCTAATTAATCACCTGTTAATCTGGATTAATCTTAACTAAAATTTTAATTCCCATAATTTATTTCTTAAAACCACTTAGAGCAGTTCCACTAAATTTAGCTAGGTGTATATATTAAACAGAATATATCAAACAGTGTTTATATAGTTAATATATATATATACGGAAGCTCCTTAGGGATGAATCTGACTCCTACCCAGTACTCTATACGTGTGTGTGTATATATATATATATATATGAATAAAGTATATAGATCACTACTGTATACCATCGCTTTCCTCTCGAATATTAATCCGCAATCTAACACCTAACCCAGTATTAAAATTAAAGGAGGAGGATAGCTTCCTCTGTATTTTTTTTTTTTAATTCTGAGATGTCAGCTGCCATTATTAATAACACAAGACAGTGACCAGTATTACTGTTTTCATATATATATATATATATATATATATATACACACACGGTTTATATACTTCAATACACAAGCACACACAAGGTAATCCATGAGTGTGATGATAAATGTATATGATAGAACTAAAGTTAATTAATACATCAATTATTAATAATTAAAGTTTGTCATTGTTATGCAGCAAAGCAGCCTAATAAATTATTTAAAAATAATATTAGTAAATGCTCCTAAATTTCTGGGTCATAAAGCAAGCGACTGTTCCCACTAAGTAACCTCACGAGTCTAACACATATCAGCCATTATCACCATCTGAATGCGCGTGCTTCAGAGGACTAAAATTATCAGAGCATGCAATATATGTATGACCGACCCAGCCATGTAAAGTTTCTGGTTTTCTCTCTTTGCATTCTCAAAGTCAACTAACAGAAGAAATTTCATGTAAAAAAACCCTAAAGAATAAATAAAGTAAAAGAGACAGGAGAGAACCAGAGCCCATGTGGGGATCCTTCGTGGAGGCAATATGGGAAATTTTAATTTTTTTTTTTTTTTTTTCAAAATGTGGATAGTTTTTTTTCCTGAAAAAGTTGGTTTAACTTTTTCTTTTCCTTTTTTCTGTTTGGGGCGAGGGAAAAAGTGGGTTCACTTTTGTGGGTAGCCAGTCAGCCAGCCTCTTGTTAGTTTCAAAAAACACATTATATACAAACAAGTTCTGGGAAGAAAGTGACAAAGAAATGAAACCACAAAAAGCCTCCAACAGCTTTCTAAGTTAATGGGATCGTTCCAAACAGGGAATAAACGTCAGTCCTGTAAGGAATAAAAACCCTAAAAAAGATAGAGACAGAGAAAGATCACGAGAACCCATGTGGGTTATTTTTTTTTTTTCCTCTGGTACTACGTAACAACCAGACGTTTTTACTTTCCTTTATCCATTCTGCAGATGATGATTATGATGATGACGAAGACCTGAACATTTGCATTTTAGTAAACAATGGGGTTGTTTGGTATTGTTGCGCATGGTATAGAAATGTCGTTTTATGGCACGTGCAAGAAGAGCTTGAACGGCCGGATTGGAAAACTTTTTCATCCAGGTTAATGATTCTTTTTTTGTATAGAATATATTTACTAACATATATATATATATATATATATTAATCATAAACACAAATTTTTTAAAAAAATTCATGTTCCTTTTTCAAAAATTTCCGGAGAGAGTTAGCGAAACGAAGAGGATGAAGTACCCAATGCCCAAGAAACCCATCAACGCATTAATGGCTATCTGCTAGCTCTGTAAATGCAGTTCTACTCCTACGCAAACCACAATACTGTAACGAGACGAAATTACTTGATTCCCACTGAATAAATTCCATAAAATGTATTAAAAAAATTACGTTTATAATTTAAAAAAACACGGAGAAGATTACTGTAAAACAATTAATTTCAGAGAACAAAGAGAATGGAGTTTGGTACGGCGTCGTTTTCTAAAAAGATGTGAGAAAAGTGTGTGGCGATTTTGTGTGAACTTAAAGAGTGTGCAATTAAGTAACAAACTAACTAACCTCCATTGAGCCAAAGAAGAAGAGGTTTGTTGTGAGGAAGATCAGAGGCTTCAGTCAACCAGTAGAAGAGAGCTCGGCCGTGTTTCTCGTTGACGGTAACGTAGCCGGAGAACTGCGAGAATCTCACCGGCGGCTGACCGGGAAGAGCCGAGACTTTGTCTAACAATTGCTGTTTCGGCACCGTCGAAGCGAACACAGTCTCCGTAGTCGAAGACAAAATTACGAGAAGAAGATGAAACAGGAACGCAATGCTGCTGATAATGATCCGAGTCGCCATTGTTATTGATTTGCAGCACCGCGGAAATCTCTCCTCTGCAATTCTCCGAATTACAAGAAGAACGAAGGTTTTGTTTGCGGAGAAGGAACTATGAGATGTATAAAACAGTGTATTTCTGTGCGTAGGGGAGAGAAATTGAAGAAGAAGCCAAGGATGCTAATGCGTTTGCTTCATTACTATAAACTGTACGTTTTAGCAGCTGTGCGGTAGGAGCCCCTCTCTCTCTCTCTCTCTCTCTCTCTCTCTCTCTCTCTCTCTCTCTCTCTCTCTCTCTCTCTCGTGGTCTGACTCAGTGAGTCAACACGGAGGGAGGAAGAAGAGTCCGCGAGAAAGACAGAGAGAAAAGGTAGATCAGCACTTGTCTTAAAAGTACCCAGAAACCAACATCATTAATGCATCACAAGACTCTTCATCATTTTTATTTTCAAAAAAATTAATTATTAACGAATATATATATATATATATTACTACATTTTTGCATTTAATTTTAATCTTATTATATTTTTATATCTTAATTATTTTAATTTGCATAAATTAATAATAAAATCAAATTCACTAATCTCTTAATTCTTCAATTCTATAATTTTTGTATTTTACATTTAAATGAGGAAATCACAAAATCAAATAAACTCCAATTTTTTAATGAATAAAAATAAATTTATATATGACATAAAAAATATATATAAAATAATTAAGTTAAATTAATTTAAAATCAAAAGCTTTTTTTATTAAATTTTTTTATCTAATAATGATATTATTTCATTTAAAATTAAGAATTTATATTAAACTCAATAGTTAATTAATAAGAAGATATTGAGAATACTACATAAAATAATAAAAAAAAACTCATATATTATTCAAAGAAATAATACAAACTTTTAAATTCTATCAAGTTATACTCTTATCGCTAATAACATATTTAATGTCGTCCTATAAATACTCACTCGTCATATAAAGTATCTATGTAAGTATCAAATTTTAAACTACTACTAGTGTTGCAACTATTTTTTTTTTCTCTCTCTCATTTTCGCTATCTCCAAACAGTCGTAAAATAAATATAAATAAGAAAAAAGAAATCTTCAATGCCAACAGTGTTTTATTTTTTTAACTCACCTTTAAGTATCGTTATCTAACTTAATAATACATAAAAATTACAATACTAGAAAGAACGTATCATCAGTAATAACAAAATTAATTATACGATTATCACACTGTTAATATTTTTAAAATTTGATACCGACATAAATATATCTTCTATTGTACGGGTATCTGTTTAATGATAATAGTTTATTAAGATAAAATTTAAAAATAAAAGTTATATATGAACGGAAAAAATTTATACAATAATTTTTTTATTTTTTTTAATGTATAACCCTTTAAAAATGTTGATTAGGAAGGATTAGAGTTAATCAATAAATTAATTAAAGGGGTTTCATTGATTAGGTGCAGCAGGTTTTTTGTGACCACAATTTTCCAGGCTTACTGGTTTCCAGGCCAATGGCATGCATATAATATTGTGGTCCAAAAATATATGAAAGTAAAGATGGGGGTAATAATGATTTCAACCCATTGGAATATTTAATACCAATTAAGTAATATATTTTGGTAAAAAATTAATTCGATATTTAAATCTATAAATATATTCGCGATTTAAGTATTCGATTTCATTAAATTAAATATTATAAATTGAGTACGATTAATTTATAATATAAATATTATAAGTTGGTCATTACTGATTCATAATATGTACATATATAATGAAACGAATTTTATGTTTTAATAAAATTTAAATTTGTAATTTTTAAATAGAATATAATAAATTTAATCATTATTTTAGTATATTGTTATTTGTTAAAAATTATATAAATTAATTATAATAATATAAGTAATTAGCCTATATTATTCATATCAACTAGTGAACTTTTTTATTATTTTTATTAGATATTTTTTTATATAATTTATTTTAAAAATTAAAAAAATAAATAAAGTACATTAATATAATCACATTAATTTATATATTTCAACAAAGGGAAAACTTACACCCATAGCACAAAAAATTATTATACACACACACACATATATATATATATATATATACATGCCCAAAGTGAGAGATTAATGAGCATAATTTTATTGAATAGGTAATCTGATTTGGGAGGTTAAAAGGTTGGTCAACTTTCTAATTATTGTTAGAGACTTCTAAAAGTATCACATCTTATTTAATTAATTTTTTAAAAAAGTGGTTAAAGCTTGTTTACCAAATTCTCTAACTAATTAATTGCTTTTTTATGAATGTAATTATCAACTTTTTATTTGATTATGACTAATTTAATTTTAAAATTATAAATAAAATTATTAGATGTGTTAAAATTTTTTAATTTATTGCTAATGTAATTTTGAAAATCATAATTGTACTATATTTTATTATAATTACAAGAATATAATAGAATAACCCATCCAAAATAAATTGGTTATGCCTCGTATCCTCTTTTTCGATTAAAAAAAAAAAATCGAGACTGACGAATTCAAACGTAAAATTTGTCATTTTATCGGTATATTGTAAATTGATAATGACTGATACATAATGTTTGATTAAATGAAACTGATGATTTAATGTACTAATATATTAATAAAATTACGATAAACGAAATAATAAAATCTCAATTAGTGTGTTACGTTTTTGTGTGACATAAACATTACGTAACAACTAATTTGAGGATCGAGGATTTGGGAGGGGGAAGATTGATGAACACCAAATTTTTATTAGATCGGATTTTGGATGGTGGAATAATTTAGTTTGAAAGAAATAACTCCCCTTCAATGAATAAATCAATCGCAATACATGCATCAATTTAATCCCACGTGCACTCAATGCATCCCCACTCCAATATGTGGACTTTGACCTTCCACACGTTTCCCTAATTATCTCTTGCTTCATCCCATAATTAAAAGGGACATTTATTTTTATTTTCATAAAAATATATATAATATGTAACGATCCCGATCCTAAATGTTGGTGAGTACGGAAGCCTTTTTATACTGTTTTTAATTAATGAAATCAATAAATATTACATATTCAACGAAATTATATATTAATACGCATCGTTTATAACAGAATAATTATTTATTTATAGAGATATGAAATATTTAAATTAATTTATATATTTAAAATAAAAAATAATATATACATATATGTATTTGGGTATTACATAATATTTTATTAATTAAATAACTCATGTCGTAACGATCCGGAACTTGAAGACAAATTAATTATGAATTAAATGCGGAAGCGAAAAAAATAGTTAGGGTTTACATTCCTTACACAATAACTTAGATTACGGAATAAGGATACAGAAATAACAAAAAATCAAAGAAATAATGGAAAATAAACAACTGGGCATACTACTCGCAACTCTCTTGTGGATCGCGCTCTGGATCTTGATTCTCTTGATCTGAAATGGTTAATGAAAGAGTGAGTTACACTAGCCTAGTAAGAATATCACGCTACTCACCGACATAGAAAGTAAAGTTGATAAAAATCATGAAAACAACTAATGGAGCTCTTAATTTCAGTAAATTCGTTTATCATAAATAAATTATTTACCGTATACTTACCGTAGTGAGATTTCCAAAATCAACTTACAGAGTCAATAACATAAAAAAAATCATAATCTCATATATAATGAGTCGACAATAACAACTTTATCTTTTATCAGCCTACTGCTATCCATATGGGTTCATAGGGATGCCCCCCACTACGCGTCCGGTATGAGCGCCAAAATACCATATCTCAATACCCCATCCGATATGAGAATGAAACAGATCGCTCCCATACCTCATCTGGTATGAGTGTCAAAATATTAATCTTTGATACTTCGTCCAGTATGAGAAAACGTTTACGGTAGGGTTCTTTATTTACCCGGTCCGTCCATCATCTTTGAGGATATCTAATAAGGCTACCGTTCATCCATTAATCAACTAATTTTCTGTTTACCTTTAATTTTCAATTTTCCAATTAACTATAAATCACGTAAAACAAGCAATACATGTATAAATAAAATACAATCGAATTATCATACCAATTTTAGTGTATTATCATGCATTCGAACTGTAAAATCAATCAATTCGATAAACATGACAAACAGTAATAAATAACCGGTTTCGGCTCCATTAGTGACTTGTAATTAATTATAAATATTCTTTAAATTACACAAACTACCGTACTATTATTAATTAAATTTCAATTTCATAACAGAAAATAAGGTGAGAGATTCTTACTCAAATTAATATCCGAAATGCTAAACTTTTAGTTGTGCCTATCAGTGGTTCTTAGATTTTCTAAATTTTTTTAAGGATTAAAACACATTTTAAGTATCTAAAAATATCTCAAAAATTCTAAATCGGTGTTAGAAACCTTTTTTGGCCAATTTTAGGATTTCGGCACGGCGGCTCTGCCGTGCTCCAGTGACGACACCGTCGCCTAGTGGTTTATCTCGGATTGGACGTTTTCGGTTGATTTCAGTCAATTTTGTACCCATTCTTGCGGAAAAATACGTTAAGGAGCCTCGA